GATGTGGAGCTTCTTAAAGAACGTCTAGGAATTTTTCATATTTTGTATCGCTGTTGTTCTTCTGCAGCCTCTGAGAAAAAGGAAAGGAGACGTGGTCTTATATCCAAGTTTAGCTATTGAAAAATTTGTTATGCCTAATTTGACGAGGCTCTAGGTCATCATATACGTGGGAGCCAACTAACCATCAATCAGGTCAAAGTGTCATGTAAAGAAATTTACTCCATGTCCTGATGACGCTTCGGATAGTCCTCCATGCAAACATAGCACTTTGGAGAAAGCAATTTACTTCTACCATACACAAGGTCAAAAGTCCACATATTATATGAATACTTATATATGGACTTGGGGACTATTGTTTACGCCTCACCCAACAAAGCTCTAGGTCATCGCCCATACTCTACATCATCCCATGTAGGTTGAGGTGGATGGTGGTTGAGGTAATGCCGAAGTGTCATGTAAATGTAGACCTCCATGGCTTAGACGAGCTGACACGTCTATTGATGTAGCGAGAGAAAGAGATAGCAAGCCTTTTTTACGATAAAGGATGCCACCCATTTCACCTTGTCTAGGATATCTTCTGAACAAAGATCTTTTCAAGGTGTAATCCTCATATAAGTGATTGATGTGACTTCTGCACAGTCGACACCAAAAGGTCATGTCTTAAATATACTTGTTAGGAAACATTAAATGCCAACTTACCTATGAATTTATTGATTGACACCTAGAAAGAGACACTCTGGCTAGCATATGTGATCATGTGCCTCTTCATCCAACAGCCCAAAATTCATCTTTGCCACTATATAAACTAACAATTAGCAATATTTGAGGTTAATGTAATTTTTATACATCCACATATATTCCTCTCTTTAATTATTGTTAATTTTTGGGATATTACACATTTTGTGGCTCATGTTATTAGCACGCCTCAAACTCAACATATTCATTTTATCAACTGACTTGATTGTAGGAATACTCACGGCCTCCTCTACCATCATTGGAGAAGGCCACGGACGACTAACAGTTTGTTTAAGTGTGTAGGAAGGAAGTTATCATGGATGCTAGTGTAATTGGGATCTATTGGCCATTTGGAGGGTGTAAAAATCGAGGTCAATGGAATTGATGAATGAGTGCCACATTATGCTTATATCCGAAAATTGCATATCCATGTGAAACTTTAAGTACTTACGCAGTTATTCCATTATTGCCTAAGCTCGGTGATAGATATATGATGTGGTTGGAAACTAGAGTTAAATGAATGGGGATGATGGCTTTGCTTGAAGTTCCAATTAGCCGATGAGAAAAGCACTTAACCAACAATTGAGAATACGTTGGGAGAGCCTGAATTGAGGAAAACGAGTGTTTTGGAGAAGCGATGATTCGTAGTCCTCGGTTTAAATTGGAGATGGAGATTGTTTTAGTTGAAAGGTTCAACCTAAGCTTCGACTATTATATGTAATTCTAATTTCAATCATTTATCCCGATAAGAGATAGCAGAACATAGTAGGCAAAAGTTACCTATACTAGCGTGTAAAAGCTAGCCTTTAGTAATTGACAAGTGTGAATTTTCCACTTATCCGGATCTTCAAAAGTGATTATTCGAAAGTCATTTTGATGGAATACTACTTCATTTGATTAAATATTGAATGTTGTAGGACAAATTCGATGTTTAAAGGCTAATGAAGAAAAGAAAGTGAAAAAAAAAAGGGGCTAAAGAGGAATAATTGTAAAAGTTTGGAAACTAAATCGAAAATCTCAAAAAATTGATGCAGATCGAGAATTGACAATTCAGACCCCATTTGGCCCCATTAAATTTTATTTCATTTTTCTCTCTCTTATTTTCAATCACATAATCTTTTATAAAATAATATTACACGTAAATTGAAAACTTTTTTTTTCTTTTTCAACCACTCATTTTTCAAAAAAAAAAAAAATACTATTTCACCTATTTTCATTTCAAAAAATGGGGCCAAACGGGGCTTAAAATAACATGGATCAAAATATGATGCACTATTGGCCAGTACATAAAGAGATCATTAGGATTACGGAAGTTATTTTACTATTTCATTTTTAGCAATCACCTTAGTTGGGGCCGTGAAGAAGATGAGGGACCAATGTACTCATAATCTATTTGTTGCGAAATAACAAAAAGTTGCTTGACTCTGCAATCATAACTGAACTTAAAATCTTTAAACGTCAAAAGACGTTGGCTCGATTCAGTCTGACCGTAAATAGGGAAAATTGTAAAGATGATAGGCTCACCATTTCGGTATTTAAGTTCATTATCTAACTATGCTAATTAGTTTCTTTCTTTCAAACTCATATATTACAAGATTACATGACCGAATTATGAAAAAATCGATTGACAAAATGCATTATTCAGTGGAAAATGTAGGGCGTAAGATTATTTCTTTAGTAAACTTGTAGAGTGTTTGGATAAAATTATAAGTTGTTAAAGTTATAATGTGATAGAAATTAGTGATTCATAAATTATTAAGGAAAATGCTTCTCCAACAGGGTGTCTGACCGACCCCTTGACAGAACCCTACCAAAAAGGGTGGGTCCCGTGCCAAAAATGGGTCCTCCTCCACCTAGTGGTGGGGTTCGGTCAGGCCCCCTGTTGGTGAAGCATGGTCCAATTATTAATAGTAATAGATCCTACAAAATGTGTACTAAAAGTTAAATATTGACGTTGAAAGGTAATTTAATTTTTTATGTTTTCCGAACATTGTATCAACGAAGTACCAAAAGAATACAACTTGCATGTCCACTAATTCAAACATGTAAACATCGGGTGCAGTACATGTACTTTGTACTCGTAGTGCTAAACAATTGACTTTAGTTGATATTATTGTTATATAAATAAAATTAATTCATGTTTGGTTTACTGAAAATAGAATTTTTAATAGCTTTGATAAAAAATGATGAAATGTGTGGATGGAAAGTTGATAACAGTTGTGAATCCAACAAAATATATAATTAAAATTAATTATTGATTTTGACTTAGATTTTTTTTACCTTTTTTAACTAAACCAAGCTGAGGCTAAATAGTTTTTCTATTTTATAATAATTTGATCTCTTACATTTAAGTGGTGTTTTAAAAAGCGTAAAGTGTGGAGTTGAAACTTCAAGCTTTACGAGCTTAAACAAGTCTAGACGAAGTTTAGGCGTAAAAAAACCTCTTTTTTATTTATAATATTATTTAAAATTTTTAATCATCATAAAAATTACTTAATAATTAAAATACTACATATTAAACACCTAAAATTATAAAATGCAATATTTACTCAATAATTTCTATCACTAGTCAATTATACAATTTTCAAGTTTTCGAAATGCAAAAATTAGAATAATTTTCATATTTTCAATTTTTAACTAAACAAATCCTACTTAATTGATTTATAGAAATTTCATACATGTTCTTGGAGTTTGTAATAAAATGAGACTCAATAATTAGATAATGTGGCTAACATTATAAATTAAATCTTATTTAACGATTTGGATAAAATCATTTTTAACTTTTAACATCTTTTAAAAGCTTGAAATTAAAGTCAAATGAATTTTTTAAATAATAATAATAATAATAATAATAATAATAATAATAATAATAATAATAATAATAATAATAATAATAATAATAGGCTAAAGTCAAATAAAAGACTTTTAAAAAATACTAAAAAAAAACTAATAAAACATGTCTACGGAGGATGAAAGAAATGAAGAAAAAAATTCAACAATTTAGGAATTCGAAAAAAAAAGCGTCTAGACGCAAAGCGAGGCGTTTTGCCTGAGCTTCGAGTCTAGTGATTTTCTAAAAAATGTGTAGTTAAAAAGTAGGAAAATTTTGAATTTACATTTAAAATTATTTTATTAAAAGAATGTAATTAAAAATTAATTTGTGGAAAACTAAGTTTTTTTAAATAATGAGGTTCACTGTTCAGAAAGTTAATAGTTTTTAAAAAGTAGTAGTAAAAGTTCAAATCAAAAGTGACATTATTATTATTATTTATTTATTTTTCAAAGGACTGTGATAAAAATATAAAGGGTAAATAACACGAAATATCCATACATTTTAATGTTATTGTGCAAAATGTCCATACCTTTCATTTTTTGACATTTTCATCCCTATTTCCATCTTTCATTGCACAAAATATTATTTTCATCCATTTTTCTCAATAAAAACGTGATTTTACCCTCATATTTAAATAAAACAAAAAAAAGGGGAAAAAAAAGAAAAGAAAAATAACTAATTGCAACAATAGTCCAAAATTTTCAAATAATTACAAATTAATCATAAATATATAATTAAAAATCAAAACTAAAAAAAAAAAAATGTAAAATCCATTCATCTTCTTCCTCCATCTTCAAACATAGTCAAACCACCCTGAATTTGGTAAAACTTCACAAGTCAACCAAAATATCAATATATTCACACATGCATTAAACTGCTATGGCACACTCAGTATAGTTCTAAATTGCCTGGGCCAATTTCATATTACTTTACACAGCAAAGTACACACCATTGCCCGAGGTACAAATCACACTAATAAAAATCCTCCTCCATTACCAATTTAGAGAAATTAGATAGCTTTATCCATATATACATATTTATAAAACATATTATATGCATTCATGTATTATTAATATTTGGAAAAATGAGTGTGGGTGTTTGAGAAAAATACATGAGGGATTCTGACTCAAGACCCGTCTTGGATCCAATGAACCTCCGTAGGTTTCCGAAAATGGATAAAAATGACATTTCGCACAATGAAAGATGAAAATAGAGGTGAAATATCAAAAAAATAAAAGGTATGAACGTTTTGTGCAATGACATTAAAAGATATGGATGTTTTGTGCTATTTACCCAAAATACAAATATAAATAAACAAGTAATTCATTTTTTATCTGACTGTAGACCACAAATCGTTTAATAAAAGTTAGAGCAAAGCTATTGACAATGGATGAAACTTTAAATCAAGAATTAGCTCTATAATGAGAAAACATTTCTAAATAATAATATGTAAAATATTTTCATCATATTTATCGTAAACACTGAACTGTAGGAAAAAGAATTGCAACTAATAACGTATTTAAAGAAATCAGAAGAAATAACATATATATGTATAGATCAAACAAGCTCATCTGCAATACAAATTCCTCAGCTGCCTTGAAGAAGTATCGATTTCCATGGTGCAACTCATGTTAGTATATTTGTTCTTCTTTATGATCTTCATAAGCTCCACTTTTCCTCTCAATCTAGACTGGCTGCTCAATGGAATAACTGTACTAGCTGCAAATTGTGCTGCGAGAGTTCTTGGAACATTTACAGAAGATAATTCCACCGGTACGTTAAATTTCCTCGTAGACCGAGGTCTTGCTCTTGCTCTAGGAATGAATGCCTCTCCAACTTTTATGTTCATGTAATAAAATTCAATCGAGCTGTCCTGATACTTGTACCGACCAAAATTAGGGTTTTTGACGCCAAGTTCAGCGATCATTTTAATGTGAAATGAGCGATTCGTGTTTAACGTTGTAATGTTAAAAGTGTCAGTGTCGAAAGAAGCAGATCGGACTCGAAATTTGGGTGTTCTTACTTTCATTACAGTGAGTGCAAAGATTAGAATGATTCCGGTTTGAAACACGACGAAGGCAGCGACGTACATGAAACATTTGAGCCGTTTCTTGCGGCGGTCCTCCCTTTCCGCCACCGTCGCCACCTCTTCATCTACTCGGCTGTAAGGATTCACCTGTGGTGAAGTGTAGGCCCTTTCTACTGCTTCCGACTTATTTTCCACCATTGTTGACCTGAAATGAGATATCTTTTTGCTCGTTTAGATACTTCTTTGAGAAAAGCTTAAAGAAAATAATAATTTGGAATATAGATACATGTCTATATATATAGGTAGATTGAATTGGGCGGTGGGGGTGGGGGTAGGGGTAAGGGATGGAACACCATTGTTGAAGTTTCTGCATGAACAAGGATTGATTATTGATGTGAAAATTTCTACGTACGTAACCTAACGCGTTTAAGGGGTTTGATATGGTGACTTTCGATGTGTTCATAATTTTATATAAAACCAGATGGTTCTATTTGGAAATTTTTTCTTGACATTTTTCTTACGTTTTAGCAAGTTTCACATGGACTAACCATCGTGTTTATGTTTTGAACAGTTTAATTTATAAATAAATAGAAGATAGATGAAAAAATATTTGTGAACAAAAAATAATCTAATTATTTATAAACAAATTATAAACATCGGCCAAGCATACTACAATAGATATTTTAATTAAGGGCCAATTACTTGGACCTGTAGGTTGTTAATTTGACTTTGGTAGATGGTTACGTGGGAATTTGACTTTATCCGACCATGGTGCAATTTGCGTTACTATTTAATGTACATTATTCTTCTTCTTCAATACCAAGTCAAACTTCATTTGTATAAATTATTTTCCAAATTGCTAAGTTTATTATAAGAAGATTATAGGTGCTCTTGTAATGAGGTCAATGGCCTTTCCATCTGTTTGTAGCTATGCAATCTCATTTCATTGCATTGCACTTATGTAAAAGAAGGACTCCTTGATTCACTATTCATTTTTCTGCCCTTGATTTCACACCTAACCAGTTCTACTATTGTTCATAATCTGGTTCTCTACTGCCCATTCATAAATATCTCCAGTTCTCATAAAGCAGCCTTACCTTAACCTTTACTTTTCCCTTCTACTTCTACTGATACGACTCGTCCCAAATCACCTTAATGGATTCGACACGTATCATGCTCCGATGATAGATACCAGCCAAATGCTGGACCCACCACCAACGCAACTATGACTTGCTTGACTAAAAAAATATTTTTAACAGAATTTTGACAAAATTTTCCCTGAAATACGAACTAAAATCACCTGAACAATAATCAATTTTCCTCAAATCAATATATATAATATAAATCAGGGTACGCCAGTTCCTCAAAATACAAACTATTCAAATAAAATGCTGAAAAATCAACATTTACTTGCTTTATAACTAACAATCCTCAAATATATTAAAGATACCAAATATCTAATGAGTCCATAATGAACTTTTTTGATTTAAACTATATGTATCCCAAAAGAATACACAATGTATAATCTGATAAAGGATGTTATACAACCTATGGCACGTGGCTTAATTCGGTTGTTCGACAGGCTTCAAAGCTACTCAATTCATCTACTTTCTGTCTCATAAAGAAAAATGTGAAAAATATATGAGTTTAAAGCTCAGTGAATTGATAATTTGTGAATAAGTAAAATTTTCTCATTTATGCATATTTTCTGAAAATTCTTGCACTACTAAAACTTCTAGAAATTTTGAAATCTGGTACCATTATTAAAATCAAACATGAATACATCATAAAATTTTTTGCTCTTCATTCTAGATAAGTAACTGTAAAATGTAACAAATATAAATAATATGACATCCGTAAAAATCTGTGAAATATTGATGCTCTCAATACTATAAGCTGAAAGTTTTAATCTGAGAACTGAATAGACTGAATTCTATAATCTGAAATTCGATAAGCTGTAGAAATATTGAAAAATCACACCAAAAAAGTACCCGAAATAATCTTACTCATGTGTCGGTTAGTACCGATATCTATGGCAAAGCTATTCAAACGTGATATTCTGATAATCTGATTATACGTACGCAGAGCTACCCCAAAGGCTAATCACCCTAGTACACGGCCCAAAGCTTATGTGTGTATGAGAGTGGGTCCCAAAGACCTCTGATAATCTGGTTATACACTATGGAACACATTCACAATAGTGCAGAGCGGGTGAAATCACCATAACTAGTCATACACTGTGGAAACACATTCACACCAGTGCAGATTAGAGTAAAATCACCTGGTACTTTCTGGTGGTTTTAAAAATAACATTAAATATACTAAAATATTTAACACTGAAATAATATGCCAATGAAATAATGGAACTGAAATGAATTTAATTTTAAAGCAACTGTTTATGAATCAACTTTCTTCTGAAAATCATGCTATCAAATCAACTGTATGAAATAATAGAATTTCTAATTTAATATAAATTTAAGGAATACTAATTTCTGAAAAATAAGTTTATATCCACTCACTGCTCTATGGATAAAAATATGGCTAAATTAACCTTCATCTCCAAACTTCCACGTCATTACCTGAAATAACAGTATAATAACTCAAATTAAAATATGACAATTAAACTAATGCAAAGTCACCACTTAATTCCTCAACTTTCAAATTTTCTCTTGAATCTCCATTCTCGATACTTGAATGAATTTCCCAAATTTTCTTTTCTCTAACGATTTATCAACTAATCACCATTCATTATCAAATTCATTAAATCACTTGCACTTCCTTAACATCACTATCTTATTCGTTTGCAACCCCTATACCGAATTTAGTCAAATACATAAACTTCAATTTTTGTCATATAACTTCATTCAAACCTTTAAAAATCTGAAAATAATAACTTTGACAAAAACAGCACTAAAATCCCATAATATTAAAAAATGGTACCAATTTCCATATTAAAATCTGGTATCAAAACCTTTGACAGAAATAGCGCTATTCTGGGCAGATTTTCAAAAACAGCGCCTGAATAGGATTTTGTCCAAAATGACTTAAAAATGGAGAAATCAACCCCAAATCCTTAATTTAAGTGATTAACATCATATAATCCCAATAAATCAAAGAATGAGTATCTATTTCATAAACCAATTTTCAAAGTTTCCCCCCTTTTATTTTCTTTTTTCCAACACTAATCATTCAACATATATTTCTTTGACCTCAAATACCTATTAATAACGTTTAATTCTTTCTAAATCTCGAATTTAAGGAATTTCCATAAACCCTAAAATCTAATATCATTCTTCAATAAGTAAAACTTATGCTTACCTTGAAAAATTGAGGAGAAAATCGAGGACTTAGCTTATCTTCCCTGTTTTTTTTTTTCCTGCCCTTTTTTTTTCTTTTCCCTTCTTTTCTTCCTTTCCTTCCCCATTTTTCCTCCTTCCCAGCTTCTGTCCGAATTCTACTGTGTGTATGTGTGTGTTTTTAGTGTAAAATGGGTTTAATGGTAATAAAATAAAGGGGCCACTAACTTAATTGCAAAGGAAGTCCCTCTTTTATAATATAATATAAAGTCAAATCCTAAACTTCCAAAATATATAAGTAGATACCAAATTTTTTTTGTCGAACTTAAACCTTCAAAATATTTGTCACAATAAATTAAGTCCCAATTAAAATGAATTATTTCATTTTAGACCCTTTTGACTTTGACTTTGACAATTCAACTTTTGATTTTTGACTTACTTTAATGAGTTGTAACATTTACTTTTGTCTTCACTTTTGCTTATCGTTCAAGAGTAGCTCCCTATTAACACACACTACTGAGCTTCGAAACATCACTCTTTTCATCTTCCCCCCTCTTTCACTACATGTATCACTGGCCTTACTCACTGCCTAGACCTTCCTATACTTATCTGGGCCTTCGGATCTACTAGTTATTATCTGTGGATGTTAGTTTTCTTTTCTTAGTTTTTTTTTTTTTAAATTTTCATCAATTTCTCAAAAAATCCATGTCGAATTTTGTATTTTTTTGGATGCAAAATGGTTCTAGTGGGATTTTTTTTTTCCACGATTTAGTTCTCGATTACATGAAGGAAAATATTTTGTAGTTTTCCCTTATAGTTATTTCTTGGGTTGCCCTTTTTGTTTGGTTTTTCATTTTTAATTTGTTCAATTTTTTAATGGTTTCAACTGCATAAAGGATTATTTATGACTTATGAGGCTATTTTAGTTAAGAAATTAGAACTTTTTTTTTTCCTTTTTGGAATTATCAATTTTTATATATGTTTTTATTCTGTTAGAGAGTTTAGAGCCTAATGACTGTATGATGGATTCCACGTGCAAATTTGAAGTTGAATGGAATGTGTGAGTTGAAATAAAGTGAAATTTGTGATTTTTGCCCTTTAATTTGGTAAATTGGAATTTACTAATTAATTAACAGAAACAGGGTTCAAAGGATGGGATGCAGATTCAATGGGTGGTTGTTTAAACATTCATATCGATAGGTACATTGACTTGAGAAAGTACTCAGGTCATCGTCAGCACTGTACCAAATTAAAATTTATCTCCAACCATTACACCAAATGAATAGTGTTTAACCATTTTCTTCCCTTTTTTATTCTTTATAATTTATTTATTTGAAATATTATTTATTTAATTATTTTATAAATACATAAATTACTAAATAAATAATTACGTTAAATTACGAAAAAGATTAAATTTATTAATAAAATATAAAAAACATAGTACAGTTAATAAAAACGCTACAAAAATGAAAATATTAAATCAGGCCATCAGAAGATAGTATAATGCATTTCGAATTTGGATATTACGAAGTCTCAAAATTTTTGCAATTTAATTCTCAGAATTCATATATGTATCGTTTTGTTTAAATAAAATTAGATTATAGTACGTATGTCGTTGTTTAATATATTTCATGTTAATTTTAATAAATAATCATGTTTGTTATATTTTAAATTTTTTTATTTTCTTAATTAATTTATTAATTATTATTTTTTATATTCAATTATTATTATTATTATTATTATTATTATTATTATTATTATTATTATTATTATATTAAAAAATATATAGCACAAATGATACAACTATCCCTCATCAATTATTTGAAAAAGGAGAAGAAAATAGCAAAATAGACTTTCACCACTTTGCACCAAAATGGTGCACAGTATAGTGTTGTATTGGAGCAACTTTGCACCAAAAAAGGTGTAATTTGATGATTTGGGGTTCACATTGGAGATGTCCTTAGTAATCTCTATGTTGGAAATTTGCTTAATATGCACAGCGAAAATAAAACAAAATTTCAATTTCATCAATGATCTCTTTTATTGTGATAAGAATTATATCTTTGTTGAATTCTGCAAACTCCTTTATTTTTTTTTTAACTCAAACAATCACAATCTACAATTCACAACTGTCCAATTATTCATCATCCAATAAAAATCTACACTGGGAACAAGATTGAGAGACTGAGGTTTTTACTTTTCTTGTACTAACAAAAAATATTTATTGTATTCTTTACAATTTTTTCAAACCCTAATTTCCTATTAATATAAGTCCCAACAAACCCGCCTATTAACGTAATCCAGTCCAAAACTTAATTAATCTAATTAATTAAATTTGACCCATGAATTAATTAATTCGAGCCTATTAATAGGCAACGCAATTAATTAATTATCCAACACTTGTCAATTAATTAATTGGTAAATCTCATTCTTTTAGTTCTCCTTTTGTATGTGACACATTATGTTCCCAATCATAATGCCTAACGACGTGAATTATTATTTTAATCTAATCAAAATCGATAAATTAAAATATCCCCTTTTAATTTATCACAAATTCACATTCGTCGTCCTAAATTGACATATAACAATGTATTAGGTCAATAAATGTGACAGAAAATGTTACGTGGTATGACAAACTCAAACTTGACCGTTTACTATGAAACTATAATCTCTTTATCAATATAATCCGATCAATTATGAAATATGAATATGTGTAAATCTAAATTATCGAACGTATCTTTCATTTCACTATTAAGTCAATTTAAGTCAAAAACTCATTTTCGACTTATGAGTACACATTGGCCAATGATTTTGTTATCAACTTAACTGAATGAAATGAAAATCATAATCTCTTACTATTTGAGAGTAATGAATTATTTATTGATCATTTACAATTTTCATATAATTTTTGACACACTCAAACAATGCCGTATTAACTACCTTTGACAGAGCAATATCCAATATCATCAAAGTATGACTATCCTCATATCAGGCACTATGATGACCTCAAGTCAAAGGACAAATCCCACTATTGAATGTTAGAAATTAACCACTAGCACTCAGATAGTAATCTATGTGGAATCTCTTGAGCGGGTTTTCAATATTTTATTCTATAACAAAATATTCATGTATTCGTTTAAGGGTTCTGCTGCTTGTACAGCCCCTGTTTCACAGGGCCTTTATAGGGCACACACAATACATGGGGGTGGGGTAATTTTTTTCTTAAATAATCACCCACCCCACCCACCTCACCCAGCATGTGAGGGGCCTGTACAACAGGTATTTCCTTCATTTAAGTGTTACCACATTTTAACTTGTTAGATCAGTTACTTACTATACAAGTAAGAAATGTTATACGTGATATCTATTCGTACTAACGATATCCATATCTTATTATTACCTATGACTATAGATGATTTAAGATTTAGTCATATGTAATTTATTTTTCACAATCACGACTTCTTATGATTAACAAATCACTAAAATTTAAATTTAAGAACTTTATTATTTAATATAATTTATTAGAATAATAATCAAACCAATAATAGATCTTGCCAAAATTAATGTATTAAACATATATTAAAAATATTTACAACCTAAATCGTTTGTATTTAGGGTATAACAATTACAAACTCTTACTTGCACTAAATTCAATCACTCATGTATCTAATCCATAAGCGTCTACAAAATGATCATGTTTATGCCGTGACAACTGCTTTGTTAATGGATCTACAATATTATCATTTGTGGGAACTCGCTCCATCTTCATGTTATTTCTTTGTATAATCTCTCTGATAAGATGATACTGCCTTATCACATGTTTGTATCGTTGATGAGATGTTGGTTCCTTCTCTTGAGTGATGACTCCATTGTTATCGCAATGCAGAGATATGAGATCAACAATACTAGGAACAATTTCAAGTTCATTAATGAACTTCTTGATCTAGATAGTTTCTTTCGGTGCTTCAGAAATAGCAATGTACCCTGCTTCTATTGTTGAATCAGCGGTTATCTCATATTTAGAACTTTTCCAACTAATCGCTCCGTTGTTGAGAGTAAACATATATCCAATTGAGATTTGCTATCATCCTTATCAGATCGAAAGCTAGCCTCAGTATATCAATGAATTCTTAGTTCATTTCCTCCATATATCAAGAACACATCTTTAGTCGTATTTGAGAATGTTCTTAACTTCTATCCAATGTTTCTCATTAGGATTTGCTTGAACTATTTTCGTAATACTTAGAGCGTATGAAATATCTGGTCTCATACATAGCATGGCATTTATGATAGATCGTATTGTTGATGCATAAGGAATTTCATATATGAGATTCCTCTTATCATGTATTTTGTGACACATATCTTTTGAGAGGTAAATCTCTTGTGACACGGGACACAATCCTCTCTTGTAAATCCCTTATTAACCCATAAATGGATCGATTAAGCTCGCATACCTTGTTGGCTTCTTTGGATTCAAAATCTTCTGGTTGTATCATGCAGGTCTCCTTTTGCAAGTTTTCGTTAAAGAAAGCAGTTTTGACATTCATTTGCTATATTTCATAACCATGATATGCGACAATTGCAAGCAAC